TTGAGCCAGAAGTTGGGAACAGTATTTGTATCAGATTGGAATAGGTGTCACTGAATATAAACACCTAGCTCAGCAGTCAGCAGGAGAGCAAAGGCATCCTTGAAGATGCAGAAGAGAGAATTGAGAAATTCTGGGTGCTTCAAGACAGAATTCTGAGCTTCCTACAGATTTAAATGCTGGAAAATATTTAAAGAGATTTAAGAGACAATGAATACAGGTTAATTTATAATAACATAATTATCACCATTTGGGTGTCTTTATCTGGTAGTCAAAATCTATCTTGTGGTAGATGTCTTAGTTTGAGGCCAGCCTGGTCTACTGAATGAGTTCCAGGACAGCCAAGCTTAGGCGGCCAAGCTTAGGCGGTAAGGGTGACAATTGAAATCGGGAAGGTGGTGAAGATGTGTTTTAACAAGGGAGCCAATCCTAGTTCCAGCAAATAGGAAAATGTGGCAGCCTGGTCACATGGATTCTATTTTAGAATCAAGGATGAACTCTGTGGAATCTCCCTCTATAACCAAGGAAAGCCTCTGAGGCCAGGCATGTAGCAGGTGTGTACCTGAATGGAGGTCCAGAGAGGCAACCCCATGAAGTTGTGAAGGTTAAGCCTGGATTACCTTGGAGAAACCAAGATGCTAGAGATGCAAGAGTCTTGGGGTATCTGGCATGAAAGATGCTAACAGGTAGTGCAACAGGCACTAACAAGCCCAAGAGAAAGAAATGTGTTGCAGTCAACAAAGCAGAAAGGAGTTGGAGATCTGAAGAGCATTTTGACATCAGACATGGAAATGCAGGGTTTGGAGTTTGCCCAGGTGGTTTTCAATTTTCTTTGTTCCACCATTATATTATTATGTTCCCTTTCCTCCCTTTTGGAATAATAATATATATTCTGTGCCATTATATGTTAGAAGTATATGACCTGCTTTTTGATTCTGATTTTACAGGGCATCACAGTTAAGAGATTGCCTTGTGTCTCAGAAGAGATGGTCTTTTAAACAATGTTGAGACTGTGCTAGACTATTGGGACTTTTGAAGTTGGAACAAATGCAATTTTGCCTTATGATGTATCTACAAGCTTATGGGAATGAGGAGTGGAATGTGGTGGTTTGAATAAGAATGGCCCCCAGTGGCTCATAGATTTGAATTGTTAGTCACCAGGAAGTAACCCTATTTGAAAGGACTAGGAACTTTAGCCTCTTTGGAGGAACTGTGTCACTGGTGATGGGCTTTAAGGTTTCAAAAACCTATGTCAAGCCCATAGTATCCCATCTCCCTTTCTCTCTCCTCTGCCTTCACATAAGGATGTATGTGTCAGCTACTGCCCCAGTACTTGCTTGAATGCCACCATATTCCCTAACATGATGAGAATGTGTTGATTTTTGCTGACCTATGCAGATCTGTCTGCTCCACCTGGGATCTGTGGATCTGAAAGAATGGGGCCAACTACAGTCTCATGTTATAGACAACCATACTT